TCACACATATCATATGTTAGCTCACGCTGGCCTTGAGCTCAGCATGCTCTTTTCTCAGTCACTAGAGTGACAGGTATACAGGGTATCTACCTAACGTTTAATTTTTTTTTCTTCTTTTTCTTCTCAATAGAAAATAACACAGCCTTCTTTTTTTTATTTCTTTTTGTTTATTTTGTGTTTTTGGTTTTTGGAGACAGGGTTTCTCTGTGGCTTTAGAGGCTGTCCTGGAACTCACTCTTTAGACTAGGCTGGCCTCGAACTCACAGAGATCCTCCTGCCTCTGCCTCCCAAGTGCTGGGACTAAAAGCGTGTGCCTCCACCGCCTGGCTCACAGCCTTCCTTTAAAAAAAATTGGTGTGTGTGGGGGAGCGGTGGTGGTGGCGCACGCCTTTAATCCCAGCACTCAGGAGGCAGAGGCAGGCAGATCTCTGTGAGTTCGAGGCCAGCCTGGTCTACAGAGTGAGTTCCAGGGCAGCCAGACAAATCCTGTCTCTAAATAAATAAATAAATAAATAGTTTTGTGTGTATGAGTGTTGTGCCTGCATGTATGTGTGTCCACCACACTCATGCCTGGTGGTCACAGAGGTCAGAAGAGGGCGTTGATTCCTTGGAACTGAAGTTACAGGCAGTTGTGACCACTTGCTGGGAAGTGAACCAGGGACCTCTGCAAGAACAGCCAGTGCTCTTGACCCCTGAGCCACTGCTCCAGCCCAGAGACCTGTCTTTCATCATTGGTCTAGTTTCATGCATGCATTGCCAACGACCCTAGGGGAATTTTCATGCCTAGCCACCTGAATCTTTCCAACGTCAACAGAGATCCCGGGACAGGGCTCCTTACTTGGGTGAAGGAGCTTGCTACCAAGTCTGTCACCTGAGTTTGATCACCAGGCCCTACATGGTAGAATTCGAGAACTAACTCCCAAAAGTTGTGTCCTCTGAACTCTGAAAACGTACACACAAAATAAATCACTAAATTTCATGTTTTAAAAATATACCAGCATATAAAATAAACCAATAGCTTTTCTTCACAGACAACTACCTCCCCACTCCCTCCCTTTTGTTCTGGAGTCTCAAGTCAGTAGAAAGATGGCAGGCAGGGAGTTAAGCATACGCTAGTTTCCTGTGGCTCTTCCCTTCTCCCTAGTCCCTTCCGAGTAAGGGGCAAGAAAATAGAGAGCCTTAAAAGCAAGCAGAGTCACAGCACAGCACACACAGCACACCACACCACACACAGCACACACAGCACACTGGCACACCACACCACACACAGCACACACAGCACACCAGGCACACCACACACAGCACTCTGGCACACCACACCACAGCACACCACAGCACACCACACACAGCACACACACCACACACAGCACACACACCACACCACACCACAGCACAGCACACACACCACACACACCACACACACCACACACACCACACACACCACAACACACACACACACACACACCACACACAGCACACACACCACACACACCACACCACACCACACCACACACACCACACCACACCACACCACACACACCACACCACACCACACCACACCAGAGCACAACAGCACACACAGCACCCTGGCACACCACACCACACCACAGCACACACAGCACACACAGCACAGCACACACACCACACACACCACACACACACACACACAGTACAGCATACACAGCACAGCACACACAGCACACACACCACAGCACACCACAGCACAGCACAGCACACACAGCACACACAGCACACCACAGCACAGCACAGCACAGCACACACAGCACACACACCACAGCACACACAGCAACAGCACAGCACACACAGCACACACAGCACACCACAGCACAGCACAGCAACACACACAACGCAACAAAACAAAAACGCACAGCACACCACAGCACACACAGCACACCACAGCACAGCACAGCACACCACAGCACACACACCACAGCACAGCACAGCACACACAGCCCACACACCACAGCACACACAGCACACACAGCACAGCACACACAGCACACACAGCACACACAGCATACCACAGCACACACAGCACACACAGCACAGCACACCACAGCACACACAGCACACACAGCACACACAGCACAGCACACCACAACACAGACAGCACACACAGCACACCACAGCATGCCACAGCACACACAGCACACAACAGCACACACAGCACAGCACACCACAGCACACACAGCACACACAGCACACACAGCACAGCACACCACAGCACACACAGCACACACAGCACACACAGCACAGCACAGCACACCACAGCACACCACAGCACTTGCAAAACCCATGGCATGTAGCACTTGCCGTCCTTGGAGCATAGCAGGATTGCTCAGCCTGTAAAGACACTCGCCACCAAAGCTGGGAAGCCTGAACTTGATCCTGGGTACCCACATAAAGATGAAAAGAGAGAGGGAGCTCCACAGAGTTGGCCTCTGACCCACAGCCTCCCTCCCACAGAATGACAGTGATCTGAAAGGTGAGGATGCTGGAGAGCTGGCTCAGCAGGAAAGAGTGTTTTCAGTTCTTCCAAGAGGACCCAAGTTAGGTTCCCAGCACCGCACAGCTCACAACTGCCTGTAACTCCAGCTCCAGGGGATCCAGTCCTCCAAAGGTATCTTTGGGTGCCCACAAGCACTTGCACACACATACATGTACACACATATGCACACGTGTGCACACATATAAGTAAAATTTTTAAAAATGGAGTGT